ATAGCAGGATGAATAATGCAGAAAAAAGAGTAAGTGATTTGGAAGATAGAATAATGGAAATTACCCAATCAAAACAGCAGACAGAAAGCCAAAAAAAAGAAAGCAATATAAGAGACCTATGGGATAATATAAAGCATGCCAATCTATGTATAATAGGAATTCCAGAAGAAGAAGAAAGAGAAAAGGGGATTGAAAATGTATTTGAAGAAATTATGGCTGAAAATTTCCCAAACCTAAAGAAGGAAACAGATACAGGAAGCACAGAGGGTCCCAAACAAGATGAACCCAAACAGAGCTACACCAAGACATATCATAATAAAAATGGCAAAAGTTGGGGCTTCCCTGGTGGCGCAATGTTTGAGAGCCCGCCTGCCGATGCAGGGGACACCAGTTCGTGGCCCGGTGCAGGAGGATCCCACATGCCACGGAGTGGCTGGGCCTGTGAGCCATGGCCACTGAGCCTGCGCGTCCGGACCCTGTGCTCCGCAACGGAAGAGGCCACAACAGTGAGAGGCCCACGTACTGCAAAACAAAAAACAAAACAAAACAAAAAAAATGGCAAAAGTTAAAGAGAGGATTCTAAAGGCAGCAAGAGAAAAACAAAGAGTTAATTACAAGGGAACCCTCATAAAGCTATCAGCTAGTTTATCTACAGAAACACTGCAGGCCAGGAGAGAGTGGCAAAGTACATTCAAAGTCTTGAAAGGAAAAATCTGCAACCTGGAATACTCTACCCAGCAAGATTTAGGAGGAGAAATAAAGAATTTCTCAGACAAGCAAAAACTAAAAGAATACAGCAATACTAAACCTATCCTAAAAGGAATATTGAAAGGTCTTCTCTAAATGGAAAAGAAGCAAGAAGATATAGGAAGGAGGAAATCACAGTAGGAAAGTAAATCACTTAAGCCAATATACAGATTTTTTTAAAAAGCCTCTTTGTGAAAGTGACAATAAACACAATGAACGGCAAAAGGATAAACATGAAGTTGTAAAAAAGGAAATCAAAATCACAAACGTGGGGAAGGAGAGTAAGAAAATGTAGATTGCTTTTTTTTTAAGAATGTGTTTGAGCCTATATGACTATCAGTCTAAAGCAAGCAAATATAGGAAGGGGTTAACATACTTGAAAAACAGGGCAACCACAAATCAAAAACATAAAACAGATTCACAAAAACCAAAAAGAAGAAAACACAAGCATAAAAGAAAAGGAAATCATCAAACCACTAAAGGAAAAAGAAAGGAACAAGAAGAAACAGAATCAACTGGAAAACAAGGTTTAAAATGGCAATAAATACATATGTATGAATAATTACCTTAAATGTCAATGGGCTGAGTGCTCCAATCGAAAGACACAGAGTGGCAGACTGGATTAAAAAAACAAGGGCCAACAATACACTGCCTGCGGGAGACTCACCTTAGGGCAAAGGACACACATCGATTGAAAGTGAGGGGATGGAAAAAGATGTTTCATGCAAACAGAAATGACAAGAAAGCAGGAGTTGCAATACTCATATCAGACAAAACAGACTTTAAAACAAAGGCCATCGAGAAAGATAAAGAAGGACACTATATAGTGATGAAAGGATCAATACAAGAAGAGAATTTTACACTTGTCAACATATATGTACCTAACATAGGAGCACCCAAATACTTAAAACAAATATTAACAGACATAAAGGAAGACATTGATGGGAATACAATAATACTAGGAGACTTTTTTTTTTTTTTGCGGTACGCAGGCCTCTCACTGTTGTGGCCTCTCCCATTGCGGAGCACAGGCTCCGGAAGCGTAGGCTCGGCGGCCATGGCTCACGGGCCCAGCCGCTCTGCGGCATGTGGGATCTTCCCGGACCGGGGCATGAACCCGTGTCCCCTGCATCGGCAGGCGGACTCTCAACCACTGCACCACCAGGGAAGCCCTATAGTAGGAGACTTTAACACCCAACTCACATCAATGCACAGATCTTCTACACAGAAAATCAATAAGGCAACAGAGATCCTAAATGATAAAATAGAACAAGTTTGACTTAATCGATATTTTCAGGACAGTTTTTACATCCAAAAAACCCAGAATACACGTTCTTTTCAAGTGCACATGGAACACTCTCTAGGATTGACCACATACTAGGGCACAAAACTCACCTCGGGACTTCCCTGGTGGCGCAGTGGTTAAGAATCTGCCTGTCAATGCAAGGGACACGGGTTCAAGCCCTAGTCTGGGAAGATTCCCACATGCCGCGGAGCAACTAAGCCCATGAGCCACAGCTACTGAGCCTGCACTCTAGAGCCCACGAGCCACAGCTACTGAAGCCCACACGCCTAGAGCCTGTGCTCCACAACAAGAGAAGCCACTGCAATGAGAAGCCCGCGCACCACAACAAAGAGTAGTCCCTGCTCACTGCAAGTGGAGAAAGCCTTGGTGCGGCAGCAAAGACCCAACACAGTCAAAAATAAATAAATTTAAACAAAAACAACTCACCTCAACAAATTTAAAAGTATAGAAATTATTTCAAGCATCTTCTCTGACTACAATGGCATGAAACTAGAAATCAACCACAGGAAAAGAAATGAGAAAAAAAACAATTACATGGAGACTAAACAACATGCTACTAAAAAACTAACGAGTCAATGAGGAAATCAAAACAGAAATTTTAAAACACCGTGAGACAAATGACAATGAAAACACAACCATACAAAATCTACAGGATGCAGCAAAAGCAGTTCTTAGAGGGAAGTTTATAGTGATACAGGCCTTCCTCAAAAAAAACAAAAAAAATCTCAAATAAACAACCTAACCTACCACCTAAAAGTATTAGAAAAAGAAGAACAAACAAAAACCTAAAGTCAGCAGAAGGAAGGAAATAATAAAGATCAGAGAGGAAATAAATAAAATAGAGATTAAAAAATAGAAAAAAATCAATACAACCAAGAGTTGGTTCTTTGAAAGGGTAAACAAAATTGACAAACCTCTGGCCAGGCTCACCAAGAAGAAAAGAGAGAGAACCCAAATAAACCAAATAATAAAGGAAAAAGGAGAAATCTCAAATGATACCACAGAAATACAAAAAACCATAAGAGAACACTATGAAAAATTATTTGCCAACAAATTTGACAACCTAGAAGAAATGGACAACTTTCTAGAAACATACAGCCCACCAAAACTGAATCAAGAAAAAACAGATAATTCAGGGAACTCCTGGGTGGTCCAGTGGTTAGGAGTTGGCACTTTCACTGCCCACGGCCCAGGTTCAATCTCTGGTCAGGGAACTAAGATCCCACAAGCCGCATGGTGTGGCCAAATAAATAAATTAAATTAAATATGGCACAAATGAATCTATCTACAAGACAAAAACAGACTCACAGACAGAGAGAACAGATTTGTGGTTGCCTAGGGGGTGGTGGGGGAGGGAGAGGGATGAACTGGGAGTTTGGGGTTAGTAGATGCAAACTATGACATTTAGAATGGACATGCCACAGCAACTAAGCCCGTGCACCACAACTACTGAGCCTGCGCTCTAGAGCCCATGAGCCACAACCACTCAGCTCGCGTGCCACAACTAGTGAAGCCCGCGCGCCTAGAGCCCGTGCTCCGCAACAAGAGAAGCCACCGCAATGAGAAGCCCGCACACCACAACGAAAAGTAGCCCCTGCTCGCTGCAACTAGAGAAGCCCCGCACGCAGCAATGAAGACCGAACGCAGCCATAAATAAATAAATAGATAGATAAATAAAACAAAACTCAAGATACAAAAGCTTGTACAGTGAAAAGGCTACTTCTCACTTCTGTTTTACCAGTTATCCAGTTCTTCTCCCCAGAAGCAACCAATTTCTTGTGCTAGAATGCACTGTAGACATACATTTCCATTAAGTACTAGTCAAGTTTCCATTTCAGCAGTCTCACCTGACAAATACTACCTTCCCCGCTTAATTACTGTGGTAGGCAGATAAGAAACCTACCACAATCTCCTTGAAAGCCTCTCCCCCACTAGTCTTCTGCCAAACTTTTCTCACAGAAGTAAAAGAACACACTTAGACTTTCCCCTCAGGCTCTAGCTAAAATTTCTCCTTTACTTTGTCCTATCTCTGTTCAATAATGTGAGAAAACTCAAGTGGATTTTCTTAGACAGCCAGAATTCATTTCACATTTTAAAAATCTGTGAACTTTTGAGCTCTCCATAAGTTTCTTCTCTTGTCTTTAAAAGTACTTTCTTAGAGCAAATTGCTAAACTGGTTTTTGGGGGCAGGTTTTTATTTGTTTTTGCTGTTATTATCTTATTGTTAAAGGACATTTAAAAAGACAATTTTACCTTAACACAAGCTTCTTTCATATTTAATACTTTGGAGGCTGCATTAATGTTTTCATGCCACAAGGGTGCACTAAATGCCACTTTATTACATATAACAAAATGTTCACCTTTGGTTTATACACCTGCTCCCTCAAAGATTTCCCAAGTTTCGTTTTTCATATTTAGAGTGTGATCGATAACAAACCTAATGTCACCAAAATAAGAATTAATGGTAACGGTATTATAAAATTCTACTTTATCTTGTGGATCAATTAGATTTTAAAAATCTTGTTTCATATCTACTACTTTATATGCAGTTTTAATATAGGATTAGCATTAGAACTCACAAAACAGATTACACAGAATCACATTATAGTCACACAACATATATTTATAAATGGCATTTCCAGATGTAATAGCAAATAAAAGTAATAATAGCTATAATTTACCAACCATCTAACAGGCAGCATCCCTGTATAGATACTTTATGTCACTATCTCCATTCTTCCCAATAACCTACAACACAAGTTTTCACTCCATTTTATAACTGAGGAACCTGAGGCTCAGAGATGCTAGGCAACTTCTCCAAGGCCACCTAAAAACTAAGTGGTAGAACTAGGATTTGAAGCCGGGTCCACACAGCTCCAAGACCGAAGTTCTCACCGGTACATCGTGTTGCAATGAAGAATATCATAAGAAAATGCTTTCATCTTACCCATAGTCATCTATCAGGTGAGAGCCAAGTACCACCACATCAAGTTCAAAGAACTCAGGTTCCATTTTGATGCCAAACATGATTGGGGCGAGTTTAGAATAATCAGCACGGTTGCAAGTAGCAACACAAACCCGAAGCTTTCGGTCATTCTCCTTCTTCTCCATGACTTGTATTTTTCTTTTTGAGAGGCTCTTAAAATAGAGTCCCTGAAGTTGCAAAAATAAAAATTAATACCCTATGATAAACCATAATGCAAAAGAATATGAAAAAGAATGTACATATACGTATAAATGAGTCACTTTGCTGTACAGCAGAAATTAATACAACATTGTAGTTCAACTATACTTCAGTAAAAAATAAATTTAAAAAAGACATTATAGACACAAAAAATAAAAATTCTTTATAATCAGAATGAAAGGTCCTAGATATAAACGTAAAATTTTGCAGTCTTAAGTCCTTAAGCACCGTTTAGTATCGTGATTCTTAACTTTTCCACCCCACTTCTGTGTGACACACCCAAGTAGCCCCTGCTCGCTGCAACTAGAGAAGCCCCGCACGCAGCAATGAAGACCGAACGCAGCCATAAATAAATAAATAGATAGATAAATAAAACAAAACTCAAGATACAAAAGCTTGTACAGTGAAAAGGCTACTTCTCACTTCTGTTTTACCAGTTATCCAGTTCTTCTCCCCAGAAGCAACCAATTTCTTGTGCTAGAATGCACTGTAGACATACATTTCCATTAAGTACTAGTCAAGTTTCCATTTCAGCAGTCTCACCTGACAAATACTACCTTCCCCGCTTAATTACTGTGGTAGGCAGATAAGAAACCTACCACAATCTCCTTGAAAGCCTCTCCCCCACTAGTCTTCTGCCAAACTTTTCTCACAGAAGTAAAAGAACACACTTAGACTTTCCCCTCAGGCTCTAGCTAAAATTTCTCCTTTACTTTGTCCTATCTCTGTTCAATAATGTGAGAAAACTCAAGTGGATTTTCTTAGACAGCCAGAATTCATTTCACATTTTAAAAATCTGTGAACTTTTGAGCTCTCCATAAGTTTCTTCTCTTGTCTTTAAAAGTACTTTCTTAGAGCAAATTGCTAAACTGGTTTTTGGGGGCAGGTTTTTATTTGTTTTTGCTGTTATTATCTTATTGTTAAAGGACATTTAAAAAGACAATTTTACCTTAACACAAGCTTCTTTCATATTTAATACTTTGGAGGCTGCATTAATGTTTTCATGCCACAAGGGTGCACTAAATGCCACTTTATTACATATAACAAAATGTTCACCTTTGGTTTATACACCTGCTCCCTCAAAGATTTCCCAAGTTTCGTTTTTCATATTTAGAGTGTGATCGATAACAAACCTAATGTCACCAAAATAAGAATTAATGGTAACGGTATTATAAAATTCTACTTTATCTTGTGGATCAATTAGATTTTAAAAATCTTGTTTCATATCTACTACTTTATATGCAGTTTTAATATAGGATTAGCATTAGAACTCACAAAACAGATTACACAGAATCACATTATAGTCACACAACATATATTTATAAATGGCATTTCCAGATGTAATAGCAAATAAAAGTAATAATAGCTATAATTTACCAACCATCTAACAGGCAGCATCCCTGTATAGATACTTTATGTCACTATCTCCATTCTTCCCAATAACCTACAACACAAGTTTTCACTCCATTTTATAACTGAGGAACCTGAGGCTCAGAGATGCTAGGCAACTTCTCCAAGGCCACCTAAAAACTAAGTGGTAGAACTAGGATTTGAAGCCGGGTCCACACAGCTCCAAGACCGAAGTTCTCACCGGTACATCGTGTTGCAATGAAGAATATCATAAGAAAATGCTTTCATCTTACCCATAGTCATCTATCAGGTGAGAGCCAAGTACCACCACATCAAGTTCAAAGAACTCAGGTTCCATTTTGATGCCAAACATGATTGGGGCGAGTTTAGAATAATCAGCACGGTTGCAAGTAGCAACACAAACCCGAAGCTTTCGGTCATTCTCCTTCTTCTCCATGACTTGTATTTTTCTTTTTGAGAGGCTCTTAAAATAGAGTCCCTGAAGTTGCAAAAATAAAAATTAATACCCTATGATAAACCATAATGCAAAAGAATATGAAAAAGAATGTACATATACGTATAAATGAGTCACTTTGCTGTACAGCAGAAATTAATACAACATTGTAGTTCAACTATACTTCAGTAAAAAATAAATTTAAAAAAGACATTATAGACACAAAAAATAAAAATTCTTTATAATCAGAATGAAAGGTCCTAGATATAAACGTAAAATTTTGCAGTCTTAAGTCCTTAAGCACCGTTTAGTATCGTGATTCTTAACTTTTCCACCCCACTTCTGTGTGACACACCCACTGGTATATCAAGTTATGAAATTCCAGCAGACCAACTATGACTCCACCCTTTTCTCTTACACTTAAGAAAGCATGCTGGAATGCAATTTAAAAAGAGTTTAATATAAATCAACTCTCATTTAAAAGGCAAGCGAACATCAGCTCTTCATTATTAACTAAAAATTATTTGCCATTCCTCACAATTGATCCCAACATACAAGATTAGAGCGAAAGTTTGGTTGAGGACCACTGATCTAGTTCAACTCCCCCACTTACAGAAAGAGAAAAACACAAGTCTTAAGAGAGGAAATTACTTCCCCAAGATTCAAGACCACATCCTGTAAGGAATGTGAGCTATTCACCCTCACGCTACACACTATATACAAAGCACTGTGATTAGTGCTGAGGAAAAGATGAGTAAGATGAAACAAAAACCCCTACCTTCAAGGCCTCATTAGCATCCATAGCCAGTACCTACACACTTGACAACTCCAAATACCTACCAGCTGTCTCCGGTCCCATAGGCACGTCAAAGTCACTGTCCCAAACTGAACTCACTTTCTTTTCCAAACCTGTTCCTCCTTCCTTATTCTCTAACTCTGTTATGAACTTCCATTCATCCAAATGCCTTGACATCCTTGTCTTCTCTGCTCCTCACCCTGTACCTCCTCAGTCCTGTCAGTTCAACCTCCGGAATGAATATCTTTCAAATCAATCTCCTCTCCATCCCCACCCACCAGAACATCCCCTAGTCCAATCCCTGATCTTACGTCAGAACTATTCTAACAGCTGTCAAAGTGGTTTGCCTGTCTCTAGTCTTGCCCTGCCTCCCAAAAACTTTCAGGGTGATCTTTCCAAAGTTTATAAATTTGATTACATTTCTAAACAGGATATACCATCTATGGATACATTCCAAATTGCTGATCTGGACCTAGTTCATCCTTCCAACCATTTGTCTCCTTACAACTATCCTTACTCTGAACCAAAGCCATGCCAAAGTGCCTGCAGTTCAACCAGTGGGTCTCCATATCTCTGTGCCTTTGTAGATGCAAGCTCCTCTACCTAAAACTTCCTTTCCCTCTTGCCTGGATTCTTCCTCATCCTTTAAAACTCAGGCTAAGTGTCATCTCTTCTGGAAAGCCTTCGCATAAACCTCAGTTCCTCCTTACACCACCCCTCTTCATGGCTGCCTCCCTCTGAGCACTGTGGCCCCATCATACACACATATACTATTGCTCAACTCCTTCGCCCACCCACCCCCCACAATTCTATACCCTGCTTTCAAAAAGTAAAAACCAGGGGCAAGGGATAAGAGCTATGTTTCAAGGAGCTTTTTAAACTTCCTTACATCAATGTAAAATTTCACTTCACAGACTGATCTCAATGCTTATGTCTCTGGAAGTGTTATCAATATTTAGAATTTGCAATCAGGACTCCAGAGAAGCTTGAGTAAGGATGCCAATAAAAGGGGAGCTGCCTTTTCAATCAGCGTAGACTCTGAAACTCAGTGGAAATCTCGTCAGTAGCCTTCTGCTGTTGATATCTCATCTCTCGTAGGCTAGAACTTCTATAATCACACAAATGGCCCATCATTAGGCCCATTCAGAATTTATAATCTCCAGTAAGAGCTAATTCCACCCAATGGAAAGCATGTGTAAGATAGTGAAGTGAGCATTCTGTCAAGTGAGTTGTGTTTGTGAGATCTACGTACTACCTAACCAAAGAGACAAAAATATTTTTCCAAAAACAGTTGTCCTAAGTGTTCTTGTACATAAACCTTTTTCCACTCATCATTAAATGTGAGCTGAATAAATTGTTGGTGATATTTAATTTGCTGGGTGAGGCAAAGCAAATCATTCATGGTTGATAAATTTGTATTTATTTTAAGAAAATAGTAAACTTTCTATTGGGCAATTCTAAAATGTTTAGTATTTACCAAGTTACTCAAAGGTTATTATACCAAAACTGAAAGTAAGGTAGCCATATACACAAACTATGAAAAATAAAACAATGTTACTAAGGCCAAAACTTTTTTAAGGAAGAAAGTTAAATCTTAGAAAAAAAATAATAATAATGGTAAAAATCCTTTGTTAAGAGGAGAATTCTTGGGCTTCCCTGGTGGCGCAGTGGTTGAGAGTCTGCCTGCCGATGCAGGGGACGCGGGTTCGTGCCCCGGTCCGGGAAGATACCATGTGCCGCAGAGCAGCTGGGCCCGTGAGCCATGGCCGCTGGGCCTGTGCGTCCAGAGCCTGTGCTCCGCAATGGGAGAGGCCACAACGGTGAGAGGCCCGCGTACCGCAAAAAAAAGAAGAAAAAAAAAGAGAATCTTTTTTAAAAATAATTTTTTATTTAACTAACTTTTTTTTGATTACGTAGTACATTCACACAGTTTAAAACTGAAAAGGCACAAGAGGCTACAGAGCAAAAAGTCTTCTCATCTGTGTTCCCAGACATGTAGTTCTTCTCCCTGAATGCTTAGAATTACTAGTTTCTTATCTACCCTTCTGCAGATAAACTATGCATATACAAATAAATACACATTTCTTCACACATATAAATACAAATATATTTTATAAATACATAGAGTGTGTATCATGCAATTAGTAACTTATGCTACACTGTTGTTGCATACCTTGTTTTTTAACTGCTCTTAATTATGTTTCTGAATTAAGTGGTAAAATGGGAAAGTTCAAAGGCATTAGAAATATCAAACCTAAAAGTGCAATTTTGAAAATTGCTGGCCATCAACTTTTCAAATATATGTAGGGTTATGAGAGCCCTGGAAGTAAAAATGACCAATGTCACAAACACTTATTGAGAACTGACTCTGTGCACAGCACTGTAAAGAAAACTGAGAGGGACTTCCCTGGCAGTCCAGTGGTTAAGACTCCACGCTTCCAATGCAGGGGGCGTGGGTTTGACCCCTGCTCAGGGAACCAAGATCCCACATGCCACATGGCATGGCCAAAAAAAAAAAAACACAAAAACTGAGAGACAGAGCTGAGAAAGACCTCACCTCTAATTTTTAGGAACTAACAATCTAGTACATGACACCTGGCCACATAATAGATCTTTACCAGTTCACTTCCCCAAACAGAAGCACCAGGAACAAAACTAACAAATTTTCTTTCTCCGCCTAGTATACATTATTATTTGTTCTGTATAAAATGTCATGCCCGGGCTTCCCTGGTGGCACAGTGGTTGAGAGTCTGCCTGCCGATGCAGGGGACACGGGTTCGTGCCCCGGTCCGGGAGGATCCCACATGCCACGGAGCTGCTGGGCCCGTGAGCCATGGCCACTGAGCCTGCACGTCTGGAGCCTGTGCTGTGCAACGAGAGAGGCCACAACAGGGAGAGGCCCGCGTACCGCAAAAGAAAAAAAAAAAAACATTAAAATGTCATGCCCAAGGATCCATTTTTGTTTGTTTTTTGCGGTACGCGGGCCTCTCACCGCTGTGGCCTCTCCCGTCACGGAGCACAGGCTCGGGACGCGCAGGCTCAGCGGCCATGGCTCACGGGCCCAGCAGCTCCGCGGCATGTGGGATCCTCCCGGACCGGGGCACGAACCCGTGTCCCCTGCATAGGCAGGCGGACTCTCAACCACTGCCACCAGGGAAGCCCCCCAAGGATCCATTTTTATACTAAGAACTGTGACCAAAGTCTCCATGACCAGTATGTAATGAATAAATGTGACATAATGGACTTAAACTATAATAGGATTTAAGTTGCATAAAGTGCAATGTAAAACAAGATAAAACTAGTTTCTTTACACAATGGAACCCTAGACAGCAATGAAAACAAATGGACTATGTCTAAATGTGTCAATATTGATAAACCTCAAAAACATAACATTAGAGGAAAACAGAAAATTCTAAAAAGTTAGATAAAAAAGGGCCATTTTTTAAAATATGTAAAACATTACTGTATGTTGTTTATTGATCTGTAATAAAATTACACAGCAACTCAGGAAAGTAGTTACGTCTGAAGGAGGAGGGAAGGGAAAGGAAAAGAGGGCCTAAAGGGTTTTTGTTGTCTATGTAAACATTTTTTAAAAAACATAAGTAGAGATCTGAAACTAACATGGTAACATGTTAATATGTCTTCAATCTTGATGATTGGTAGAGTGTCGTATTGTTCTGTCCTTTTCAGCATTTTTTTTTTTTTTTTTTGCGGTACGCGGGCCTCTCACTGTTGCGGCCTCTCCCGTTGCGGAGCACAGGCTCGGGACGCGCAGGCTCAGCGGCCATGGCTCACGGGCCCAGCCGCTCCGCGGCATGTGGGATCTTCCCGGACCGGGACACGAACCCGTGTCCCCTGCATCGGCAGGCGGACTCTCAACCACTGTGCCACCAGGGAAGCCCCCTTTTCAGCATATTTGAAATATTTTATTAAAAACAAGAAATCTTTTAAATGGACACTGAAGATGCACTGTCCACAGTCCTTAAAGCCTAAAGCTCAGAAAGCAGGTGGATTGGATATTTACATCCATTTCACTCAATTCCCTAATAGTAACCAGAGCCACTAAAACCAGAAAAATACCCGAAAAATACACCTTCACCTTGAACTCACTGGCAATCTCTGAGAAACCTGCATTCTCTCAACTCAAGACTGACCATTATTAATACTGACAAAAGGTGAGTGACCCTGTCCAGAAAAATAAATAGTGTTGTCCCACTCAACTATAGAAAAAGACAAACACTTGGCTCAAGCAGTCTCTGAGCAGAGGAAACCATCAAAGTAAACAACTGCCAGGCACTGTGTTAAGAGTTTTACAAGCATTAACTCACTTCATCCTCACAGCCCTACCTTATTAGCCCCATTTCACAAATGGGCACAATGAGGTACAGTGAAAACCAATTTACTTGCCCCAAATCACAGTTAACAATTACCAGAACCAAACACCAAATCAGCATTCAAGATAGTGCCCATATCCAGTGTTTGTCTGTGTCTGTTCATTTCATAAACACCCATGAGTGAGAACCTTCCTTATGCCTGGTCCTGCCAGGCACCATGGAACTGAAGGGAACATATGATGTATCACTCTCTTCCCTCAGTGCAGACGGGATGACACAGGAATCAGGAGGGTCTGAAATTCAGAACTCTATCCTGAGCTCTACTCTGGTGTGACTTCTTCCTAAGCTTCCACAGTCGGGTTAACCAGTTATCTCTAAATGCCAAGCTGTACCCCACCCCTCTTCTCCATCAGAATTCCAAAAAAAAAAAAAAAAACTTTTTCGTGCTTTTTTACAAGTGTGCTCCGGATTGGAGGGAAAATAAACGCACATCAAGCTTCCAAGAAAGCCCAGACTCAGAATACAGTCAGGGTTGGGCGCAGACCCTCAAGACGATCTTTCAGTCCAACCCTTTACACCCCGGGGCCACTTGTCCGTCACGGAGCTCTCCGCCCTCTCCTGCACACCTCCGTGACTGGATGCTTGCTATCTTTCAGGACAGCAGGTGGGATGGAGTGCAGCTGGCCTCCCTCTAACACCCCGCGCCCCACTCCCGGTTATTCGCCCGGGGTCCGCACTCAACCCGTCTGCTCCACGGGCCAAAGGCTGAGCCCACATAGGAACTAAAGAGCGGGCCTGGCGTGCAGGCCCGCGGGAGACAGAGCGAGGCGCGGGCCGGGTGCGGAGCCTCTGGCCGGGGAGCTGAGGCCTCGGGGTGCGGGCCCGGAGGCTGCGCTCCCCGAGCCCGCCTCCCCCGAGTCCCCGGCGGGCGCGCGGATCTCACCAGGCGCCGGTCCGCCGCTCCTCCCGCGTCGCAGCTGCCGCTGCCGGGCCTCGCGGACAAGAGCTGAGCGCCGCGCCGGAAAGCACGCCGGCGTGAGACCGCCCCCTTGGCTTCCGCCACTCGGCCGCGCGGGCGATGACGCGCCTCGACCCCAATCCCGCACACCCCGCGCACCCTGCGTTCCCACCCGAATCTGCCGACGCGCCTTACGTGAGCGGGGAGGAATTCTGCGATTGGCTGTGCGAGGAGGCCGGGGCGGGGTGGCGCCTTCCGTGGTCGTGGCACAGCCCCGGGCGGCCGGCCAGTGTCCCGCCCCTGAGGGGCTAGTCCGCCTGCCACGCGGAAGTTCGGAAGCCGAGCGCCGCACGAGGCAAATTGTTTTGGCCTTGGGCCCGAGATGCAATTTCTTAACGCCTTCCAGCCACGCAGTCATTTCATAGGCATGACCAAAACAATACGGTCGTCTGGGGGTCGACCCAGAGCCCTGTCCTGACTGAAGCTGTGCCACTCCAGAACCGTGTCTGCTGGAGGGCTCAATGGAGTGCTGATGATGACCCAGGCAAGGCAGAGACCAGCTGATCCTTATAATGAGCTCAGCCTCGGCCTCCCCTGCAGGGAACACCCAGGCCTTCCTGCTCCAGGGAGGAGCACAGAGGTGACCAAGAAACTGTCGGGAAAGGCATCACACAGCTCCTGATGAAGACTTTCTAATGATCGTTTCGAATTCCTAGTCACCATTGACAAGAAGTTTTGAATTGGTGATACAGAACATTAAAATATTTTTTTTACAACCATTAAAGAATTTATCGCAGGCGAAACTATTTAAACAGCCTAACAATTCACTGACGGTTCTTGCTATAAAGTGAATTTCAAGTCCAATCAAACTTTTGCACTTGATGTATTTCAGTTAATGATGCTTTAATTTGCAGAATACCTGTGAACTGTTAGTTCCCCTGCAGCTAGCTTGGAGCCACCAAAAGATCATATCAACCACAAAAGGACAGACATTAAGGGGTTTCGTGCGAGGAAGTGCCAGGAGATTTCTTTTTTTAAATATCACTTTGGCTGTTCTGTGGAGGAGGGATTGGGTGAGAGTCAAGAATGGTAGCAGTGGGCTTCCCTGGTGGCGCAGTGCTTGGGAGTCCGCCTGCCGATGCAGGAGGCGCGGGTTCGTGCCCCGTTTCGGGAGGATCCCGCGTGCCGCGGAGCGGCTGGGCCCGTGGGCCATGGCCGCTGGGCCTGCGCGTCCGGAGCCTGTGCTCCGCAAATGGGAGAGGCCACAACAGTGAGAGGCCCACATAACGCAAGAAAAAAAAAAAAAAAAG